TGAGAATTTTTAATTCTTGAGAACCTTCCTAAATTTATTAGATCAACACAGGTTTAAAAAGAGTTATTTTTTGTTATTTGAGCCATTGGAACATTTACTTATTTTATTTATTGTACTTTCTATTGCTTAAATTTAAAAAAATAGAATTCACAAAACCTAAATGTGCTGAGTTAGTACGGAGCAAGCCTAAACTTTTCTAAACGCACCTGAGCAAGACAAATCCTAACATCTCTCACAAGGGTTTTAAGTTAATCATTTCGAGATTAGTTTCAGGTCAATAAACACACAATAGTGAACTAGTAAACAGTAAAAAATTATTTTAGACAGCCCCTTCTAAAAGCGGTTACTTTTAAGACAAGCAAAGCGTCCTAAAAGTTCAATTTTCGCACTAGAGCTAAAAGTGAAACAATGCTCAAATGTGCAGATAAAACTGTGAATAAAACAAAGAAAACAAAACACTTTTTTCTGATTGCCTCAGATACTACTCTCCTTTTGTCAACACAGTAATCTCTATGCTCGAGTTGAAATAAAATGAATGTCAGTGAGGCTGTCTAAAAATTAATGTATGACACGCGTGGTAAAAATGATTTTATTTTAAAATTGCACCATTCTGTCTACCGGTCGCAAAATTTCCTACCCACTAAATAAAATGTTATTTTTACCACTCGTATAATAAATAACTTCCCTCAAACTATTAATAGATATGGATTAACGAAAATTTCGAATGTTAATGCTTTCATAAATTAAAACGATATACAGAAAAGAGTAATAGTTAGTTGTATTGTTTACAATATTTGTAGCTCCAGTTCACTGAGTTACAGTTAAAAAATGAAACAGTGCTATACGTTTTTTCAAGGTTATGTAACTTTGAAGCTCAATGAAATAACATCGAAGTTCTGGAAAGGAAGGAAGTCAAGGAAAGGATTAAAATCAAGGAAAAGCTAGTAGGTTTAACAACATAAAGAAAAACACCCTTCACATTTCAAAATAAAGTTCATTAAAATAAATTAGCTGTCGAATATAGTAAGATAAATGATTGCATAAAGTCGGAAAACAATTTTTCTTCATTATGGCGTTGTTTCGCGTAATTTGGGAGTAGAATCTCGACAGATCTAGTCACTAAAAATGTTTGTTGATCTTGGCTATAAAAGTTAAATATAAAATAAATATACAAACGACAAATAGTACGGAAAATTTAATTTTAGAAATGAGTTTACGAAAACAATATAAAACATACTCGACTAACAAGCGGCTAAAAATTAGAATACGTATTTAACAATTTTGTTTGGTAATTAAATGCATATTTCATTACTTTTTACGACAATTGTTTATGCTTCTATAAAATACAATAAAATATTTCTGAGACTTGCAGTTGAGAAAGTTGCTAGCAATAGACTTGAAAGACCATGCTTGTTTATATATTCACGGCATTGCGTTTTGGGCGCAAAAACTAAAGGCGACCTGCTGCGGTGAATTTACGACGAATTTTTTATCTTCTCCCTCTCGTCTTTATGCAGTAATAAGGAAGCTAAATTCACTCACAAAACTTTCTACTGTTGGTTGTCCCTTCTAGGTAAATGACAATGTCTCATTTGAACTCTGATGGCGAATAATAACCCTTCTGATACCGCATATTTCATGTTTGGCTCTTTTCTAATGTGTATATATATTTTATTTATAGTTTAAGGTGGTATTAAGACGCAATTACCAAACTTTTACATTTGAAAAGTTGAGGGCGTTTATATGCTGTGAAAATACATTTTAATCGTTATTAACTCGAAATTTTGTTCATTGTTTGGGTATTCTGAACACAAAAATTTGAATGCGTTTTTCAAATACGAGGCGTTTTCGTCCTGGTTATTTTGACGTATGAGAGACTGTAAACGAATTTCTTCCCTCATAAATATCCAATTCATATACTACAAAGGTTCGCTTATAAATAATGACAATAATTGTTTTTGTGAGCATGGGTGGAAAATGTAAAATATACACATGAAAAAACAATGTCTAAACTAAGTACATGAACATAACGACACACCAAAATTGTCGTTCTCATATTTATTAAGGTATTTGAAATGAAAGTACTCGTTTCATGTTCCTAAGCATTTAGCATACACGAGTTCACAACATTCCCAAAGCATTGCATACCCGTTCTAAAGACTCTGTTTGGCAGGTGCTCGATTACCACACGTGCCACAGCTTCGGTCCGCACACTCACAGGTCGTCACGTGCGATGCTGATCACAGGTTGCAACGCGTCCTCACACCAACTCTCCTCGACATCTAGCTACTGTCTGATATTGAAAGGCATTATTTCCAAGAGCTTCCAATTCCACGAGACATTCTCAAGCAGGCGACCCAAGGAGAACAGCTGCGTTGAAGACTCAGCGCCGCTCGAAACTTGTTACATTCAATTCGCATGGCGGTAGACGCACATCTGATTTCACGTTGCTCTCTATGCTAATAGAGACACTCGCAGAGCCATCTGCTGGTGGGAAAACACCCTACCGCATTTCTTCTTTTTCTCAAAACGTGCATGGTAATATTTAATTATGTAAAAGCCAAACATTAATAAGTTAGATAAAGTTTTAATAAATGGACAATAATTTGTACATTCTTAAAATGCTTAAAAACATTACTTCATTTGTTGCGTGATTTGCTGCAGCAGTTGGTATCAATTAGTTTGTAAAGGACCGTGAAATATTTCAGGACATTAAAGCGTGTTGTGTCCAGATAGACTCTCTCAGAAACGATTGGTGCAATGAACATTGGTCGAAGGTTTGATACCTGCGGAAGTTAGACATCTTTTTGTTTTAACGAGAACGCGCGTTTTCTTATCTAATTTTAATTATCACATTCCATATTTAAACCATGAATGTCGGTACTTCTCATCGCAATTGAACTTCTCGAAAACATCTTCTTTACGTAACGTAGTTTAAAAAGCTAAGTAATTTTACATAAGTGATTTAAATTTGAAAAAATAAAAAAATGAATTTGTGATAAACAAAAACCTACTTCCTTGCTAAAGTCAGAAGTTCAGAGAGCATTGCTTGTAGTTCTCTGGAAGAATTGGCAATTAAAATTGGGAATTAAAACAATATCACCAGCAAACACAAGTTTAGATATTTTCCCCGTCAATGTTAATTTCAAAATTATCCGATATTTTTCATAGAACGTCTTGTAATAAACAAATCAATAATTTAAGGAAAATGGGATCTCCTTACCTTACTCCTCGTCTCAAAGCACATTTTCGACCTTCCAGATCCATTTCAATTCTTTTTTGGGCAAATAAATATTTTCCCTATTAATAAGATGTAATTGTCATGCACGCCTATTGCTTTCAATGTTTTGAAAATCCTTGCTCTACAGAATCAAAGTCTTTCGGTAGTTGTCAATATTTTCTTTTGAACCCTTTCTGTGAAGTAATATTATGGTATTCAATTTCCATTCTTCAGGCAATTCTTCTTCTCGTAGCACGTTGTTGAAAATAATTGTTAGTGGCAGAGTTAGTTCTTGAATTCCAAATTTCAGATATTCATTTTTTGTTATACCATCTCCTCCGGAACACTTATTTAAGCGTTTCTGATTCAAAATATGTTTGACCACTTGGTAAGATTTCTGGGACATGCAAATTGTGTTTTAAACGTCCAAAGAAGTCTTCGATTAATGCATGTGACCTAAGCTCTGTGACATTTTAATTCGTTTCAGAGATTTGGTCGTGCACATTATGTTTTTCACTAAGGTCTCTTCTTGTTTTCGAAGGTCACGTATAATATTTCTTTTCGTAAGCTTGTTGATTTCTGCCTATGGTTTGTGGAGACATATTTTTTCTTTGTTTAGCATTAGTTATTGTCGAAGATCTGTAAATTTTTTCTCCATAATTTGTTCTGTGTACTCGTATTTCTTGATTTGTCTGTGAAAGAAGACATTTTGACAGACCATTTTATACATTCTTCAAGTTTGGAATATAGGGAACACTTCATGTTTCTGACCATTGGATTTTGTGGAGATTATTAGAAAGAATTCATTGGAATCCATAAGATTAGATTTTCGTAGTCTCTTCTTGTACAGTCTGTTTCGTATTTCATGTTCATTATTTCCATTTCTGCGGGTACCATCTGGTGGTCGGTTTCAAAATTTAAGTATCTAATCACCTGAACATCCGATAAAAATACGAACAATCACAGAGAATAAAGTCGATTTCATTTTTTAATTTACCTTCCGGACTGTTCCACGACCATTTCTCCCTCCAACTTTTGCGAAAGAACATATTTTTTCTTCTCATATTGTGTCTCTCAACAAATATCATCAAGAGTTAACCTCTGTTATTTTTTTCGCATATACGAGTTCAATTTTTACATATTCGACCCAATTATTCGAGTACATTTTTTGTTTCAATATTAACTTCAACTTAAAACGAAAGTGGGATGGAAAAAAATTGAACACCGCCTAGCTCAACACATCCTTGTCATTGTCAGAAGCCCTCTCCGTTTCTCCGTCCGAAGGAAAGTGGGGTTCCGCCTAATGCGTATTACGACGGGCGACGCCGCTGGGCCGGCCGTGCGCGACAACTGCCGCCGGGGCTGCTAAGTAAAACATGCGGCGCGCGGCCGTGAGACCGGGAGTGCGAGAGGCGAAGTGAGAGGGGCATGCGGAGGGGAAGAGGGCGCGGGGCGGGGAAAGTGGTAGGCGGCGCGGGGCGCAGGGCAGGGGTCGTGTGTGATGTGGGGGCAGAAAGTATACAAGAGGGTATGTTGAGGGGTATGGGGGAGCGCTGCGCGGGGTGGTGGGCGCGGGACGAGGAGTGGGAGCAGGAACGGAGCAAGGGTGGGCGTGGCGCGCGCGGGTGCAGGGCAGAGGTTGCGGGGGCACAGCGGGCGCATGGCGCGCGGTGCGGTCGCGTGGGGGGAAAGGGAAATGAATGGGTGCAAGGAGACGTTGCTGCGTGGGACGCGGGGCTGAGGTGGGAGGGCAGGCGCGTGTCGTGCGTGGGAGAATTACGCGGGATTGTCGGCGCGGGGCTCAGGCGCGTGGGCCGTGACGCGGCCCGTGGACGGCGGAGGGCAGAGGACGGGGGCGAGGCGCGGGGGCGAGGGCGGGGGGCGAGGGCGGGGCGGACGGGGGCGAGGGACGGGGGGGGCGGAGGCGGGCGGAGGCGGTGAGTCGAGGGCGAGAGCGAGGCGAGAGCGAGCGGGGCGAGGGCAAAGCGCGGGACGAGAGCGAGAGGCTGGAAGCGCAGCAGGGCTGAGCGAGGCGGGGGCGAGGGCGGGCGGGCGAGGGCGGGGGCCGAGGGCGGGGCTGCTGCGAGGGCGGGGGGCGAGCGCCGCGGGGGCGAGGGCCGGGGCAGGCGGGGGGGAGGGCGGGGGCGAAGCGGGGGCGAGGGTGATGACGAGGGCGGGCGGGGGCGAGGGCGAGGGCGAGGGCGGGGGCGAGGGCGAGGGCGAAGGGCGAGGGCGGGGGCAGGGCGGGGCGAGGGCGAGCGCGAGGGCGAGGGGCGCAGGGCGGGGGCAGAGGCGGGCGGCGAGGGCGGGGGCGGCGGGCAAGGGCGAGGGCGAGGGCGGGGGCGTGGCGCTACGAGGGCGAAGGGCGAGGGGCGAGGGCGAGGGCGGGGCGAGGGCGGGCGGGCCGAGGCGGGCTTAGGGCTGGGGGCAGAGGCGGTGGACGAGGGTGAGGGGAGGGCGGGGGTTGAGGGCGAGGGCGAGGGCGGGGGCGGGGCGAGGGTGGGGACGGGGCGAGGGCGAGGCGAGGGCGAGGCGAGGGCGAGGCGAGGGCGGGGGCAGAGGCCGTGGGAGTGCGGGGAGTCGCACAGCGGCGGCGAGGGATGAATGTTTGATGGCACGGCGCAGGGGCTGTGTTCTCATGACCGCCCAGCCCTGTGTGAATGGGCGATGAGCTGAGCGGGGGGACGGTTCGGCGGCGGGTCGTTAAAAGCCCAAATGACCATGAAGCTCTGTTCTCCGATCGTCTTCTTTCCTAAACCCTTCTCTGCTCCAACATTTTTGTTTATTCCATTCATATTTTACAGATATTTTAAAAATTTAGAGTAACCATTTAAAATTAATTTACGATGTATTAATCAGTTCAAATAAAACGATTTATATCTTCCCATGATTATTAATAATTTGCTACGAAAGTCACTACTGTCTTTAAACATTAAAGAATAATATATATTTCTATGGAGAAACTAAAACTGCAAGTTCAATAATGAGATATATTCTTAAATTCTTAAATGATATTGATTATCTTCATTAAACCCGAGGAGATAAAAAAAATTGCACAATCATTTGAAGATCATTCGTAGGAAAATATTTCAAACTGATAGGCGAACATACCTCTGAAAATGCATATTGAATGGACAATAGGGGATTCATTTGTTCATACCGCACTCTTTGGACCAACGTGCTAATATCGTACTTCGGAAGATCTTTCGTTGAACCCCGATACACAACCTGCGTGTTTACAGCATAATTTCTGCCCCTGACATAATACAGAAGACTTTCTCAAATTGTTTCCCTTCGTTCAGAACCGCCGCTCCAACAAATGTTTTCACATGATCGCACAGTATCCAAATAACAAGAATATGTGTAGCGTTATGACATGAAAATGTCTTTTTCAACGTGTTCAAAGACAGTTTTTGTATGTTTTATGCACTAATAACTGTCCTTTTTTCGCGCTTATTTTGGAATCATCATGCGCACTATCTTTTATTTTTATTTTGAGTATTTTTTTAAATTTATTTTTAGTTTGCAATTTGATTGCGAACAAACATTTGACAAAATTGCATTATTAATTAATTGACAGGAGTTAGGTCCATTGGCCCTACACCAGTGATATAACTGCATTAATAGAAGTTGATAATAAATACATACAATAATAAAAACACAAAACACATTCTTTTAAATGAACAATTTACAGTCGATAAGAAAAGTCTAACGTATGGAGGTGTTAAAGTTGTCTGATGGTATCACTATTGTCTAGGAAGTTGAGGGCCAGAATATTGAGATGGTTATGTAGTCATTGCAGGTATTTTGCATTGGTCTTTTTGATTTCCTCTTTCATTGCTGGGATCTGTAAGTCTTTATGTATTGTTGCGTTCGTTACATACCACGGGCCATTTACAAAGTTTCTCAAGACTAAGGATCAAGGATTGTAATATTTCAATGCTAGAATTTTGATCTGTTTCCATTTTACGTATAGGTTATAAAAGATAACGTTATTGTATTGGATGACAACAGCAATTTGAAGAAATCAACATATTATATCAACAAACGAATAATCACTAATTTGTCGTACGTGAACTGATAAATAAAATACATTCACAAAGGATCGATTGTATTCTGCGTCTCCTTAACATGAGTTTTCGGCGGTCACTGAGAAGGAAAAAGATGAAGCAGAAAATATTCTTTGTATATAAGATAAAAATCTTTTAAATTGAAAAATATAACAGAAATGAATTCGGATATACTATTGCAAATAACTACATCAAAGCACCAAAACATGTAAATTGTAGTCATCAAATCAGTTATAAATTATCGTAGTTTACTATTACTGAAAGTACTACCGACAACTCTAAACCTATCTGAGTCAAAAGGACACAGTTTTGAATGAAGTCCCCTACCCAACCACTGCTTCTGTAACAAAACCTTTCACCAAAAATTAAGTCCCTTCAAGGGAGACTTAAAATACTCGACATAAAATACAAAAAGACCATATGAAGAACCCTACATTTTGCAGTCAACTGGAGTAAAACGATCAAACGTATTTTAATATTTTACAAACACCAGGTCATAATGAGAAATAGTACGAAAAATAGATATATAGTATCTCTCCGTTTTTATTCACTTCCTTTCTCTGTATTCCATTTATTACGAATAATATAGTCAAACTTTTTTAAAAGATGTGTACAGAGTTTTAGAGGTGGCTCTAAAAAAATAATTTTTTATTGCCTCCTGTTTTGGAAAACATATGTCTCAAAAGGTAAACATTGCAGATTGATAAAAACCTGTGTTAAAGTGTACGGAAGGACCCAGAGAATCATATAGCGTAAAATCTGCTGCCGAACACAAATTGTTCTTGTTGTTTCAGATGGTAGTCTTCGAGCCAGGCTGGCATTCCACTTGCAACGCTACGTCATCTTTGTAACGCTGAGTGCAGTAAAACAGAATAGCTGACGAGTAGTGCCGGAAGGGCATTGCAAGAGGGTAATGGGGTTATGCATTCTAGTATAATCTCCAGAGAGGAAATCATAAATACTCAGTGTCTCTTTACTCTGTACTCGCAAGACTCGTGTATTTTACATATTTTATTTATATTTAAACACACACAATTTAATGTAAAGTACATATTTTCAAGAAACGACATTTATAAACATTTCATGAAATTGGAAAAATAAACAAAATAATCTTACAGGTCTTCACTACGATTTCCATTTGTTGCGATAAATGATGCACTTTTCAAAATTCATGAGAACGTAATGAACTGTCAATGTTAGAACTTTCACGTCGTATTTATTCAGTCGGGTCGGCTCGTAGTGTACTGGTCAGACAGTTTACCTTCCACCTTTAGGTAGGGAGGCTTCAAGGTGGAATTTGTGGTGGCTTTCAGCAGTTTTGGTCGGAATTCTTTTTTTTTTCTCCGGACCTCATTTCATTATTGCTCATCATCATCATCATCCATCACTTTAGGTATGGTCTAAAATGCTTCGGTGCCTAGGATCATAATGGTGCATTGCATTGCGTACGTCCAATTAAGTGCATTACGTTATTATTTTCACTGAGCACACGGTGGTTCGTTGGTTAGCGTGTTCGCCATTGACGGCGCAATCCCAACAGAATAATAACTTTGCACTTTCTTTACAAATGTTCCAGTATATATTGCTGGGTGCGATGAGAAAGACAACCCTAAGGTTAAAGAAGTCTAGTATATACGGTGAAAGAATGTCTTCGTGCTAACCACACGACCTCTTATTCCATGGCCGAGAGGCTGGTTCATCGCGGTAAGCCAAGGCCCTTAGCGGGCTGTCGAGCCATATTACAGGACAGGACATTTCTTTTAGCACAAGTACCTCAGAAACCGAAGCCAAGGATTGTAACGTCAGATAATCAAGGAGACCACTCCAAATGAGGAAGTCTTCAAAAACCAGTAAGGGACATTGTCACTGAGCCAATCTCTTAACGCCGCCGTGGCGAAATGGGCCATCCTTTTCAAACCATTCACCAACTCGAACTAAACTTTCAAGTTGAGGCATTAACTGATCGTTCAGAATGGCGAGATAAGCCTCACCAGTTATTTAAATCAGAAACATTAAATTAATATTCCAATTTAATAAACTATTGAAATAAAATAATTAATAAATTTACATGATCAAGCATGTGCATAGACAACCAAGTCAAATTTAGCCGCAGTTTGGAGAAAAATTCTAGCGGTCGGCTGCTCCGTTTTTCCATGGTTTCTCCAATAAACACCAAGCAAATTCCTGAGCAATTCACTAACGAACGAGCCATGGATCGCGCGCGATCTTTACTTCTCCTTCCTATATTCAACTCTCACTTACATTTACCTGCACTACACTGCTACACATGTCGGAAGTCCTGTCGGGAGCTTAGAGCTCGTCTCTTCTGAAGAGGTGATTGAAATCTGCATGAGGAAAACCCCGGAAGCCGACGTGTAGATCGGCGCTGGATCTGAACATCTAGCGGGGAAAGAAGTCCACCATATCCCGGGATAAAAAGCATGAAGTACACTTACGAGAATAATGACCATAGCCGTTGCCGCTCCCAGAAAAAAACGAAATAACCAGGCAACCAATCAGGTGGTGAAACGCCGATCTGGATGGCTGAGGTGGTTAGAGCGAATGCCGATTCAGCGCCTCGGTCGGAAGGGTCCCAAGTTCGAGTCCCCCCGTGGGCTAGTTTGTTTGTCCCTTGTCTTCCATACGTATGTGTGTGTCGTCGCGGAAAATCTGCTGATAATAGACCGAGGAGCCCGCAAGTGTGTCTAATGTAAAAGGTTAATACGTGTCCCAATGAGGGACATAGTGGGTAGCCGAAATCGGCATCTCCTGCAGCTGGAAAAAGCGGGGCGCGAGGGCGGGCGCGTGGGCGGGCGCGGGGACAATGGCGAGGGCGAAAGCGTGGGCGGGTGGGGGGGGGGGCAGATCGTGGGGGGTTCGAGGCTTACGCGGGATTCGAACATGCAGCCTCGCAGCATTCGGCTTTGCTTACTTGAACGTTTCTCCAAGTCCTTCCACCACCAAGACTAGTGTGATAATGAGTAAAAGCATTTCTAATAACTTTGCAATACATTACGATACAAATTATCGCCTTCACCATGGTACACAGACGTGTTACTTTTTGTTATCTACTTCTAATGACATCTATTGTCTTACGAGTAATTCACAAGCCTTCGAAAGTAAACACAAAGCACGACAAAAAAACGACATCGCTACTTTGCGCTCATAATCCTCTTACACGTTCCCTGCGACATCACGCTGCCCTAAATGCCACGAGTTACCGCAAGAATGCGGCTGCGTGGGGCGGAGCGGCGAAGGCGGGGAAAGTGAGCTGGAGAAATGAGACGAGTCGGCCGCCGCGAAAAAGCGCAAATTGCTGATCGCCCGCGAGTGGCGTCGGTTTC